ACTTTGGGGTGTTCAGGTGAATTTTGGGGGTCTCAGGTGGGGTTTGGGGGGTCCCAGGTGGGTTTGGGGGGTCCCAGGTGGATTTTTGGTGTTTTTCACCCCATTTTTGGGCTGCTTTTCCTCTTTTTTTTTCATTTTTCACCCCATTTTTCCCATTTTTTGCCATTTTTCCATTTTTTTCATTTTTTACCCCATTTTCCCCATTTTTTGCCATTTTCCCCATTTTTCCATTTATTTTCCATTTCCCACCCCATTTATTCCCATTTTTTTGCCTTTTTTTTGCCTTTATTTGGCTTTCCCCCCAAATTTTGGGACGCGGATTTCGGGTTTCCCCCCAAATTTCGGGACGCGGATTTTGGGATCCGGATTTTGGGGATCCCCCAAATTTCGGGACGCGGATTTTGGGGATCTCCCCAAATTTTTGGATCCAGATTTTGGGACGCGGATTTTGGGTTTCCCCCCAAATTTGGGGACGCAGATTTTGGGTTTCCCCCCAAATTTTTGGACGCGGATTTCGGGGATCTCCCCAAACTTCTGGACGCGGATTTTGGGTTTTCTCCCAAATTTTTGGACACGGATTTTGGGGATCTCCCCCAAATGTTTGGACGCGGATTTTGGGGATCCCTAAAATTTTGGGATGCGGATTTTGGGATCTGGATTTTAGTTTCCCCCCAAATTTTGGGACGCAGATTTTGGGTTTCCCCCCAAATTTCGGGACGCGGATTTTGGGGATCTCCCCAAATTTCGGGACGCGGATTTTGGGTTTCCTCCCAAATTTCGGGACGCGGATTTTGGGTTTCCCCCCAAATATCGGGATGCAGATTTCGGGGATCTCCCAAATTTTTCGACGCAGATTTCGGGGATCTCCCCAGTTTTATGATCCGGATTTTGGGATCCAGATTTTGGGACGCGGATTTTGGGTTTCTCCCAAATTTTTGGACGCGGATTTCGGGTTTCCTCCCAAATTTCGGGATCCGGATTTCGGGGATCCCCCAAATTTTGGGGTCACTGCTCGCCCTGCCACCAGTGGTAGAGCTGATCCGTCAGGATCCCGCCGTAGGTGAGCGCGGCCGCCACGCCCTGCTCGTACGCCGTCCTGGGGGAAAAAAACCCGATTTTGGCTCATTTCCCCCAAAAATGATGAATTCGGGGGTGGGAGGGAAAAAAACCCGGATTTTGGGGGAAAAAACGCAATTTTTTGGGGAAAAAACACAATTTTTGGGGGAAAAAACACAATTTTTTTGGGGAAAAAACACAATTTTTGGGGGGAAAAGCTGAATTTTTTTGGGGGAAAAAATCTGGATTTTGGGAGAAAAAAATTCAGATTTTGAGGGGAAAAAAATTCATATTTTGGGGGGGAAAAAAAAATCAGATTTTGGGGAGAAAGATTCCAGTTTTTGGAGGGGAAAATATCTGGATTTTGGGGGAAAAAATTTAGATTTTGTGGGGGAGATATCAGATTTTGGGGCGGAAAAGTTCGGATTTTTGAGGGAAAAAAATTCAGATTTTGGGGAAAAAATCTGGATTTTTTGGGAAAAAAAACAGATTTGGTGTTTTTTTTGCGGTTTTTTTTTCGGGGGTTTTTGGGGTGCTTTTGGGGATTTTTGGAGGGGATTTTGGGGATTTTTGGGGGTTTTTTGGAGGGTTTTTGGGGGTTCCTGGAGATTTTTTTGGGGCTTTTTTGGGGGGATTTTTTTCCCTTTTCTTTGGGTTGTTTTTTCGGCTTTGGGGGGGATTTTTTTTTCCGGGTTTTTTTTGGGGCGCCCCGGGGATTTTTTTTTTTTTTTTGGGGGGGATTTTTTTTCCCTTTTTTCGTTGTTTTTTCGGGTTTTTTCGGCTTTTTTTCGG